AGTTACTGAAGTCATGGACATCAACACAGATCCTGGCTGTTGCTGGGATATGAACCCAGACATGGTCCCTGGCAGCAGCCCAGGCCCAAATGCCACCTGGTACAGGGTGGCAAGCAGGCCGTCAACATCAGCCCATTCCTCACCACCCTCACTTCTTCAGAACTCCCTCTTACCACAGCACACAAACCATCCTGCCTCTCTTTCTCTCCCATTTCTACCATATACTTGTTCACCATAATGACACTCCTCCAACCAGCACTGAAAGGAACCAGGGGGCCTGTGGATGCTTCAGGCAGGCCAGACCCATGAACCAATGGTGTCTTTCACCCACGTGAGCCTCATGCTTGTTAAGTCTCTTTATTCAATATCTTCAAGTTTTTATTATTCAAGTCTATCACTTGATGGTTAGAGTTATCCAAAGGTATTTTTGAGGTTTTTGTGAAAGGTACTATTTTCATTGTTTCTTTCTCACTCTGCTTGTCATTTTTATATAAAAATGCTATGAATTTTTGTATGTATGTTAATTTTGTATCCTTCTACTTTGCTGAAATCGTTTATCAGTTGTAGAGGATTCCTAGTGGAGATTTTATAACCTTTTGTCAGAGCCTGCCCCAACAAAGTCAGGCGCAAGGTTGAGAAAATCTCAAATTGAAAGAAATTGAGACAGAAAACCAGGATAAATACAGGAGGTCTGTTGGTAAATACCAACCAGCCCAGAGTTTATTTTAAAGCCTGCTTATATACAAAAGCAGAACAAAGCACAGCATAGTCAGTCAGTATCTAACCACAAGACTCTTCCTGTTCTTGAGCAAGCAGTTTCTTTTACTATCTGGATGTGCCTTCAGCTGGCATTCATCAGCCTGTGTCTATCTCATGGGCTTAATCAGAACTTTTTCACAGTTCTCAAGGAGACTGAAACAAGCAACTGTTGTGGGGAGGTCACTTGTTTGTCCCGGCTGCTCAGAACTGAAATAATCACACAAAAACCATATTATTTAAATCACTGCTTGCTCCAGTTTCTCATTTGCTAACTCTTACATCTTAGTTTAACCCATCTCCATTAATCTGTGCATCACCATGAGGTGGTGGCCTACCAGCAAAGTTTCAGCACATCAGTCTCAGGAGGCAGCTCCATGGCTTCTCTCTTACTCCACCCTTCTTTCTTCAAGCATTCAGTTTAGTTTCCCCTACCCTGACCTAGCTCTGCTCCTCTATAGCTCTGCTACAAGTCCAAAGCAGTTCCTTTATTTATCAATGGTAATCACAGCATACAAAGGGAAATCTCACATCAAGCAAGCTTGAACTCAATAGGCGTATAAGTCAGAATGGACTCCAGATGAAAACTGAGTCACCTGTGAGCTACCGCAACCTTTTATGCATAAAATCATATCATCTGAATATAAAGACTTTTTATATAGTCTTTTATATACTTTGACTTCTTCCTTTGCTTTTTGTATCACCTTGCTATTTTTCTGGATTTTTTTATTGCTCTAGCTAAGAACTTCAAGTACTATATTGAGTAGGCATGGAGTGAGCAGACATTTTTGTCTTGATCATTAGAGAAAATGCTTTGATTTTCTTTGTTTAGGTAGATGACGGCTGTTAGCCTACTGTCAATTGTCTTTATTATATTAAGGTATGTTACTTGTATCTCTAGTCTTTCTAGGACTTTTATCATAAATAGATATTTAATTTTGTCAAAGGACTTTTTCACATCCAATGAGATGATCATATGATTTTTATTTTTCATTCTTTTTATGTGTTGGATTACGTTTATTGATTTATTTATGTTGAGCCAGCCATGCTTCTTTGTCGTGAAGCCAACCTGATGATGACAAATACTCTTTTTGATGTATTCTGGAATTCAGTTTGTAAATATTTTATTGAGACTATTTGCATCCATAATAGACAGTGATCTACAATTTTCTTTTTTGTTGATTCTTCTTGTGGGTTTTGATATCAGGGTAACAGTGGCTTGATAAGAAGGATTAGGAAATGTTTCTTCATTTTCTATTTTGTAGAATAAATCTGAGGAGTATTAGAGTTAATTTTTCTTCTAAAAAATTAAAATCTGGTCTGGTAAAATTCTGAGTTAAATCCATCTGGTCCCAGAGTAATTTTGGTTGAGAAAGAGTAAAGACTTTTAAAGTATGTCCTTATAATTCTCTGGATTTCCTATGTCTATTGAAAGGACCCACTTTTCATCTCTAATTATATTAATTTAGATGTCTCTCTATATTCCCTGGTCCTGAAATTTTTTTTCTTCCTAAACTTAACTTTGTCCTCTTCTCTACCAACACCTCGCCAGGTCCAAAAGACACTGGACTGTTCCACATCACAAATCCTGGACAGGAGTAAAGTAATCAGCTACCCCTGCATTTGGCTTTTGCTGTTTAGTGCAGGGCCTGCCATGTTTTAGAAGATCCTGTGGGTTAGGAAATCTGTAGGAAGATACACCTACCTTGACCTGGGAAGCTAAGCGGTTGATTCCATTTGATTCTTTGTCCACACCTGGAGATCTTTAGTTTAGATGAAAGGCAGTTTTTCTCAGTGGTTAGTGCTTTCACTTAATGAAACAAATTGCAAATGGACATTATTCTGTGCTCATCTGTCCTCTGTTTGCTTTGGAGGAAATAGAGTACTGATGCTAGGGGCCAACCTGTCTCTCTGTTTTGAAGAGTCCTTTAAAAATTGAACATTTGAATGCAATATCCCCAGATCTCTAAACAGTTGAGGGCTGTTTATTGGGTATAGATAAGTTATAATTATGGTATAGGCTCTGCCTGGAGAGCTGAGTCCAAGCCTGACTGTACTGGTTTTTAACTTGACAGATGAGATTTATAGTTGTGAAGGACAAAGAAGAAAAAACTGTTCACAATAGAGGCTTACAACAGCTTAATATATTTTAAATCAGGGTTGGATCACATATACAGTATTTTTGTAAGAGATTTAAAACTACATACCAATTTAAAATATGAGATTTATGTTTTCTTAGTCTGGAATGAAATTCAAAGAACAGACTATTTAAAACATTTAACAGTAAGTATATGTACATTTACACACAGTTGAATTTAGTTACACAAAAGTTAAATAAAAAGTGAGTGAGAGAAAGCTGGCTTTTCTAATGGGAAAGCAGAGTTGTTGCAGGGGAGGAGATGTACTATGATAGCCTGTTAGCAGGCTACCTGCACTGTTTGGCTGGGGGTAGGACCTTGTATGGAAAACCTGCCACTGGCACTCTTCAGCTAGGGGCAGAATCTCGTGAGTCTGTGACGCCTTCCTTTTTTAAGTTCAAAGAAAATGGTGGTAGCTATGGTTGCCCATGTACTATTTACATTTAACCATACTCTGGTAGAAGTTCGAAATGTCAGCCTATTTCTCACGGGTGAGGCAGAAAAAAAAATGAATGCCTGGCTCAGGCTGTTACCTATTCATCCATAAGATAACAGGGGCCAAGAAAGGGCAGTCTCCCAAGAGGCACCAGGCCAAAAGGAAACATTTGGTAAGAATTTTCACATAAAGCCTGAGAAAACTTTAAAAAGGGGAAGTGGGGGTAGGATTCTATACAGACAAGAACAGAGTCAAGTGCAGTTTCTTGGCCTTTTCTTCAGTAGATTCTGTTGCTGGTAGTGAGCAGAGGCATGGCTACTTCAAGAGAGGCTTCTTAACTCAGCATTAGCCTCAAAAACCTCACAGTTTTTTTAAGAGGCTTTGCCACCAAACTCTTTTTTTTAAACAATACAAATGTTTTATTTAATAGTCGCAGGTCATCATGGGCCAAGTGGTGGATACTCAGGACCCAGCAGGAAGGTCAGTCAGCGCAACCTCCGAGCCTCTCTGACTCCAATAGGGTGAGCACATCTCCCTCTCGAACAGGGACCTTTGACGTTTTGGATGATGGAGTGGCTGGTGTCATCCATAAATTCCACACGGACCTGCGTGCACTGTCCCTGCGAACTGGTCCTGCCCAGCACTTTGGTTACCTTAGCGAGCTTGATGGGCTGCAGGCGACTCGTGTCCATGATGGCGGCGATCAGGCGGAGAGGGCTCCACCAAACTCTTAAATGGTGTTCATGAGCAGCTGGCATCGGTCTTTGTGGTGGTAGCATGGATATAGAATCTCCAGAGTTTTGACAATAAATATGGCTCCCACCAGTACCTCCACCATAAAGCTAGACTCTCAAAAAGATAAGGAATGGGGTGGAGCCAGACACCAAAGCCACAACTTTAATCCTAGCCATATTGCTTAGTAGATTAAAAACTCATGTAGTCAGAAAAAGATAGACATATACAGTGATGACAGATTCAGATAAAAAAAAAAACAACTCTAAACAGCTTACAGTGTGTTTTAAAATATTCATAGGCTTTGGAGAGAAAAGAAAAAGAATAGAGAATGTCCTTTAAAAAAAAAGAAATAGAGGGGGCTGGAGAGATGGCTCAGAGGTTAACAGCATTGCCTGCTCTTCCAAAGGTCCTGAGTTCAATTCCCAGCAACTACATGGTGGCTCACAACCATCTGTAATGGGGTCTGGTGCCCTCTTCTGGCCTACAGGCATATATGGAGGCTGAACGCTGTGTACATAATAAATAAATAAATAAATCTTTAAAAAAAAAAGAAATAGAATAGTCAGGCATGGTGTCTTATGCCTTTAATCCCAGCCCTTGGGAGGTAGAGGCAGAAGGATCATTGTGAGTTTGAGGCCAGCCTGATCTACAGAGTGAGTTCCCAGATAGCCAAAGACACACAGAGAAACCCTGTCTCAGNAAAAAAAAAAAAAAAAAAACAGATAACATGTAGTCACAAGTGGCTTTACTACATAAAGCAAAGTCTGCCCTACTGTTTTTTTGGGTTTTTTTTTTTCAGAAAGAAAAAAAAGAGGCCTTGAGTTGCCTTCTAAATCTATGAATTACATTACAGCAAAAGGGACTTTGTGTCCCACTATGACTGTATGAACTCATTATGTCAATTTCTTTCTACTGGGCCTCGCCTGCTAACGTAAGTACTACTTCCTGATAGTGCCATGGGCTGGTAACTTGACCTTCAATAAATGGGGTGTCGGGATACATTTCAAATGCAAATTATAGGAGTGTTTAAGGGAAATATCTCAGGGTAAGAATGTATACACTATGACTTCTTTTTAAAATACAGTGATTCAAAGTAAAACTCCAGGAGACCTCCTAAATTTTATTTTAAAGAGAACATACCCTTTAGCCCTGAATGCATGTTTACAATAGAGACTCTATCCTAAGACTGTCATTATGGCATTTAGGACAAATATTTTCTTTTAAAGAGCCACAAACTGGAAGTCCTTGGGTTGTCATTAGATGGACATCCATCAGGTGTGGATCTAAGATATCAAACAGTGCTGATATTTGCAAATATTTGAGTTTACTTTAAAATCTGTATGTCACCTCTCCTCTCAAATAAGTACTTCTAGGTTTCTTGAACCCTGTAGAGTTCAGCCATGTTGGCATTGGACTTTACACTTTTCAACAAACTTGGAACCATCGGTTTGGGCAGGATCTGTGCTTTCCAGTTCAGTGCAAACCCCATAAAATACTGCCCACAGCTCGTTCTTGGCAGGTATGTTTATTTGCAATTGTGTTTGTTCCAAACCACCTGGGCTTTTATAAACTTGTAATACAATGAAAAAGAAATTAATTTTTAAAATAAATATTGAAAGGGTGCGCTGGTTGCTCTTCACTTTCTTCAAGGTTGTTTTACCCTCCTCAGTTCCTCAGCCAACCAGGACTGAAGTCCTAGAAGCCGGAAGGTCTGAGTCTCAGGAAAGACAGGTGTAAGGAAAACCTACAGGATGTCTTGATAGGAGCTGAGAAAAAAGAGAGAGGCCATTAGGAAAGAAAATGAGGTAACAAAGCAAAGATACTGAGAAAAGGAACACAGGAAAGGGGAGACTTACTGGCGCTTCTTGATGTAGATCACATAACAGATTAGAGCACATATTGGTACTAGTACTCCTAGTACTAGCACGATGATAATACCCATGGAAAAATGTCTGCCACCTGCTTTGGAAGAATGCAAGGTATCACTAAACAAAGAACCCAGACCTATTTCAAGTTCCCTATTCTAAGCACATGCGAGGAAGCCATGCCATTGTTTTTTCTTTATTTAAACTCTATCCTTTTAGTCTTCATGAGTTTAGACTGACCATCTATTGTCAGGATCTGATTGTATGTTCTCCAGACAGATGTGAATCTGTTTACCCCAGCTCTTGAATTTTCTGAATGACTTTGGGTGGTTACCTTATCCTAGCACTGACTTCTTTGTTGACTTCTTTATCTGTAAACTCAGAATAGCAGTATTTGCTTCAAAGCTAAGTGATGAACTGGTATGTTGTTAACAGAGTGGTCAGTGCTCATACAGGAGGCATCAATAACCTACATCTATGCCTTGGGCTTGGATCCTCTATCCTGGGGAATGTACCCTCCTGAACTTCTTTATTTGCCCTTTGCCTCTGGGTCTTCTGAGTTTCTTGGTCTACATTCCTCTTACATATATAGAACATCTTACCTCAAATTTACTGGGATTGATTTCTGTATCCAGAATTGCCCCTTCTCTCTCTCCTATAATAGTTAGGGGTTTCATATCTGAAACTCAGTTTGTTTAGTTTTCACTCCAAGCTTGAATGGTACCTCTACTTGCTCTCAACCCAGGATACAGGTTTTTTCCTTACGTGAATGGCAGATGATATCCTGTTCTCCTAGGCTGCTATGTTTCACACAGCAGGCCAGGCCAGCCTCCTTTCCAGCCTCCACATCCAGGGTTGCTCGGAGATACCATGTCTCATCAGCATTGGGCAGGTAGTCACTTGTCTGAGTACTATTTTGCTCCTGCTCACCGTGCATCCACATCACCCACACAGGCTTTGGGTAGAAGCCAGAGACATGACACACCAACTGTAGATGACCATGTTTAGGACTGAGGCCACTGGAAAACCAGACCTCAGGCTTCTCTGTACCCAGAAAGAGAATAAAAATATCTTAAAGCAAGAACATTTATATTAGAGGCTCCAGAATTTCTATTAAGTTTACACTTTCCACAGTTCCCCTTCCGGAGATGATGTTGCCTATTAGTTTAAATCCATTTGTATCACTGTGACTAGGGAAACTGTCTGTGATACTTTTACCGTTCCTTGATTCAAGTGTTCCAGGAACAGTCCTTCTCTATACTCTAGAACACCCTGAGTTCAGTTGATATAGCATGTCTCAAATACCACCTGGCTCAGTTCTGATCCCCAGTGTTTATTTAACTTAATTTATAGAATCCAGAGTGAGTGCCAGTGACAAGAATAAACCCCACATGCCTTATTCACCTCTTCCTAGGCCTTGCCCTTCCTCTAAAGCTTACAGAGATGAAAAAACATAGGGAGAGCTGGGGTGAAGCTAGCAGGCCGACCTTGTTTCTCTAGCTCCGCCTTCCCTGCCTCCAGGAGGCCATGGACAAACTTGGGGCAGATGTCATACAGAAGCCATTGTGCTGTTTCCGTTGTCCCTTGATCACCGTTGAGCACGTTAATGACCAACTCTGTCCAAGGTGGGGCATCTGGGGCCTTCTGAAAGGAAGTTCCCTGAAAACTCAGGATATATTCTCCTTGAAATGTTGCATATAAAAAGCTTTCTGAAGCATTCTCAGAGTACACGTCACACCCAGCAGACATCTGGATCTCAACAGGATCTGTAAAGGGGAGTGTGTAGAGATTCAATAATGGTTACAGTTTGGAAGAGAGGAGAAGAAATTGGCATGGAGATATGTCCCAGGTGAGGGAAATGATTGTGGGGTCCTGGAGCAGAGACAGGGATTATTCTCAGAAGAGACAAGGATCCCTCTAGACAGAAGTGAAAATCTTAAGGGTGGAGAAAAAGAGAATCTCATCAAGTAGGCCCACAGTTATCCAGTTGGGGTCTGGGGTTCTCTCTCATCCACTAGGTACCTTTTCAGGGCTCCATCCCTCCACTCACAGTGTATATTAGGCATCATTTTGACAAATTCCTGTATGTCCCTGGTAAAGCTGAATCGATAAATTCGAAATATACGCTGCAAGTGCTCCCACTGTTGGTCACTGAATTTGCCCTGGGACCAGGGTTTCACGAAGTCAATGGTGTCCGAGGCATTACTCCACCGATGAGTTTGCAGATCCCCCAGCCAGGCCAAGCCATCTGTGCTTGAGCAACTACTGTTTGGGAAGGAAGAGATCTGCAGGCAGCGGAAGGGGAAATTATTTTGCTGGGCTGGAAACAATGAAAACCGAATGATCACAGTAAGTGTCCAATTCAGCGGGCAGGTTGTTAGGAAAAAGCCTTAATGGGCTTGCAAAGGGAGAGTAGGGTTCAGAACTGCATTTAGCTCTGAGCTGCATCAGCATATGTTCCGCCCACCAATGTGCTTCAAACCCAGCAAAGTCCACTTTCACCCACCCAGGACCGCAGCGCTGCTAGCCCAGCACTCTCTCTCGTCTTCTCCAGCCCATACTGTGCCCACTTCTACTCACCTTCAGATTGTACCCAGACCCACGGGAACACCCAAAACAACAGGCACGGTAGGTACCACATGGTGAGAGAGGTTTAAACAGCCCTAGGCTCCGACTTCTGCGCTTTTCTGTTCACGCTGCTTGAGGAGAACAGCTCTGGGTTTTTGGCAAAGCGACCGCCCAATCCGGAAAAGCAGGCTCTGGCAAAGGAATTATTCTTTTACAAAGTCACCCCCTAGTGGTTGAGTGTTGGAATACAGCTTTAATCAGCACCTCTGAGAGCAATCAAATTTTCTCAACCTTCTTTCGTTTACACTAAAGAAAGAGGTTGAGAACGGTTTGCCATCTAAATGTTTAAAGTGAGCCAAAATGTCGTGTTTGTGTTACAACTCCGAAGATATTAAAAATGCAAGGAAGCAAAGGAGAAAAGTTTCGACCTTGCTAGCAATGGCTATCTGCAGGCGCTACTTTGTTTTACACTTCTGACTCCTTCCAAATCTCCACACGTTTAGAATAAATAAGGATAGACATGATTCTCACATCGGTACTGAGAGGATAAGACCGGGTGGGCTAAGTTCCTTCACAGCCTTCGTATCCATAAAGTCTTCTGTATCAGGGGTCCCCACAATCTTTCCCCCTAACCTGGTCTGTTCTCTGCTTGCCTTGTCTCTCTGTCTTCCCTGGCTCCCTTTCAGGAGAAAACAGGTGTGTTTTATTTTATTGCACTATATCATGATTTGTGCAAATTGAAGACTTGTGGCAATCCGATGTGAAGAAAAGGTAAGAGTGACAAGATGTGCACACTCTTTGGGTCATAGCACAGGGGAAACAAGCAGGATATCCGCATTCAAGGATCTTTCCTTCAGGTTCCCTGCCCTCTGGACAACCTTGCCTACTGGCTTCTTCCTCTGGAGGTAGGATCACAAGGTGTGCCCGTGATTCGGTCATTCCCTATTTCTCACGCTGGAAAGAAGCAGTGACAAAACAGTTACTCAGAACTGTGAGTTACCCCAAGAAAGAAGTCATCACTGGTAAAGCAGACTCCCTCAGCCACCGGAAACCATCTTCCTCGTTCCTTTTTATTCTCTCCTTCATCAGCTTGCTCTATCTTTTCATCCTGTCTCTTAAGTGGGTCCTCTTCTCTACATCTCTACCTTCATCATCACCCTAAGCTTCTGTTTCGTCTGTATGGAAACAGCCTTCCTGGGAAGAAAAAGTCATCATCAGGATGGCCTAGAGAAGTATCCTGGCCCTGCTCTGGTCTGCCTTTGAGTGTCAACTGGAACCTACTCTCAGCCTCACATGCTCCAGTGCCTTAGATGCAGCTTCTTCCTGACTAAGGGCTCTGTACAAATAGGTACCTTAGGGAACTCATGCTTCCAAGCCCATGCCTAGCTGTTTCCACTCAGACCAAACCGCAATGCTGTTTTCTCAGAAGAGCCTTCTCAAGCTTCCCAGGTGGTGAGAGCAAAGGCAGGAGAGCTAGATAGCCCCATCCCCACACCCTGCACAGAGGCTAGTTTTATGGGCCTTTCTTCCTAACACTTAGGCCTTGTAATTACAGAAGTGTTAGTTCATCTGCTTCTTTGTTCTTTCTATAATCACCTGTAGAGATATCAGATCATAAGGGTCACATCTTCTGACCATGACACCTTCCATTCTGCCTTCATTAATTTTACTCCTGCTATGTAGCATTGTTAAAGAGTCCTGGAGGATAGGTTTTCCCTTCTAGGCTGGGATCTTGGGGGTGGCTCTAATCAGCTAGACCTTATTTTACTGGATATTGCTCCCAAAACAGTCTGAAATGACACTGAAAAGTTTTGTTAACAAATAGAATGTTACTTGGGTGTGGTGGTACATGCTTGTAATCCCAGCACTTGGGAGGTGGAAACAGGCAACTCTCTGCTGCAGTTCCTGCTCCCTCAGTGATGTAAATTTAAACAAGTCCTTTCCTCTCTAAGCTTCTTTTGACCATGGTGCGTTAATCTCAGAAGTGGAAACTTTAAGACAGCCTGTCATAGTCCCTTTTCACCTTCCTAGTTTCTGCGGTTATTCTGGGTTGTATGCTCAGATCTGGAGTTTGGGAGCTTTGAAATGTAGGAGCAAAAACATGCAGTCTTTTGGGATCTGATTTATCTCACTGAATACAATGCTTTCTATGTCCATCCATTTAACTGCAAATGTCACGATTTCCTTTTTTTTTTTATACAGAATAGCATTTTATAGTGTTTATGTCCCTCATCTCCATTATCCCTTGTCAGTTGAAAATCATTTAGGTTGTTTCCATTTCATAATTATTATGAAGAGCAACAAACATGTCTGAGGAAATATCAGTGGGGTAGGATGTCACGTCCTCTGATCATATTCCAAGCAGTGGCATAGCTGGGCCATGTGCTGCATTTATTTTTAGCCTCTCAAGAATTGTCCAAACTGTTCTAGAGTGAATGCACCATTTTACAACCCACCAGGAGTGAATGAGGGCTCCCATCCCCCACATTTTCTCCAGCTTTGTGTGTGTGTGTGTGTGTGTGTGTGTGTGTGCGTGCCACCAGGGGTGAATGAGGGTTCCCATCCACCACATGTTCTCCAGCTTTGTGTGTGTGTGTGTGTGTGTGTCACCAGGAGTGAGTTAGGGTTCCCACCCCCCACATTTTCTCCAGCTTTGTGTGTGTGTTTGTGTGTGTGTGTCTGTGTGTGCTTGATCTTTGCCTGTAGACTTGGGTGAGTTGTTTCTATTTGCATTCCCCTAATTGCTAAAAAGGATGAACATTTGCCACAATATTAGCCATTCTTATTTCTCTGTCTGAGAATTCTTCTTCTGGGTCTTTAATGTTTTGACTTTTTTTTTTGTATTCTTTTGCTGTTAATGCTCTATCAAATGAATAGCTGGAAAGATTCTCTCCCACTCTACTGACCTCCTCTTTACTCAATTGGTTTTTTTGTTTGTTTGTTTTCTTTGATTGGGCAGAAGCCTTTGGGTTTTATAAGGTACCACTGGTCATTGTTGGTTAATTCCTGGGCATTGGAGCTCTATTTAGAAGGCCTTTTCCTACACCTCCATTCTGTAGTCTTGCCTTTGTAGTCTTCTAGCAGTTTCAGTGTTTCAGGTTTTACCCCAAGGTCTTGAGTGCATTTGAAGTGAGCTTTTGTGCAAGATGGTAGACGTGGGTCTTATTTCATTCTTCTACATGTAGACATTCAGATTTTCCAGAATTGATGAGGGTGCTGTCCTTTCTCCAGTGTGTGTTTCTGGCATCTTCGTCAATTATCAGAAGACTGTATTTTGTGTATACTCATGTTTGGGTCTTCTATTTTGTTTAATTGATCAATATGCCTATTTCTGTGCCAGTTCCATTCTGTTTTATTACTTTGGCTCTGTAATATGTTTTGAAATCTAGAATGGTAATTGCTCCCTCATTTTTGGTTTTGCTGTTGTGTTGTTTTGTTTTTGTCAAGGATTACTTTGGTTATCAGGGTTTTTTTTTTTTTTTGTGGTTCCATATGAATTTCAGTTTCTTTGGGGAAATGAGATGGGAATTTTTATGCAGATGGCAATGGACCTTTAATAGGTTTGGGTAGGGTGATCATTTTTTTACAGCACTAGGCCTATTGATCCTTGAGCATGAGATATGATGCTCCAGTGTCTCAGCCAAAAGGGGTTGTCAGATGTCGATCTTGGTCCTTGCCAGCCTTTCCTTTCATGATTGAGAGAACACTAACTTCTGTCTCCCTTGCATTCAGAGCAGGGACCATCTTCCCTGATGTAATATTATAGTGATCCTTGCTTACTTTGTGCGTGGCTGGGTGGTTAGGTGAGAACTGCCCAGCAGAGAGATATTCCTCACTGCAGATTCCTGTTATACACACACACACACACACACACACACACACACACACACCTTGAGGGTGATTTTGTTACCAGGAATTCTTTTGTTTGGGGTTGCGGTTGGGGCATAGATGAAAGCAAACTTTCTCTGCCCATTTCTCAAATGTTCTGTCAGGGAAGTGGCCTCTGAGCTCAGTTCTTCACACTCTACCAGTTACAAAGTAGTGTTTTGCTTCTGTATACATTTTGCCTTGTTTCTATGTACTTCTTTTCATTTTTATTACTGTTATTAATTGAGGTATTGTTTCTTGCAAGGTGAGGCAAGAGTTTCTCATGATCATGTACATGAGTAAGGGGGGGGGTTTGGAGATGAGGTAAGGCTTTTTAGTCTGTATGAAAAGCCATACAAAATAAAGCTTATTTTTTTTTAAATTTATTTATTTATTAAAGATTTCTGTCTCTTCCCCACCGCCGCCTCCCCTTTCCCTCCCCCCTCCCCCAACCAAGTCCCCCTCCCTCGTCAGCCCAAAGAGCAATCAGGGTTCTCTGTCCTGTGGGAAGTCCAAGGACCACCCACCTCCATCCAGGTCTAGTAAGGTGAGCATCCAAAC